TAAAGAGAAGGGAGAGGAGAGAGAGAAAAAGAAAAAAAAATAAAAAAAATAATGTAGGAGTATTTATAGCCTAAAGAAAATGACATTGTTTTGACATAGAAGGATATGTGCCCTTTACTCCGTTTCCACTCAAAATCCGCATATCAACTCACTTAGACCAAGTTTAACTCTCTTTTTTTTTTTCTTTATATTTATATTAATATTAATTTATTTATTTTGATTTATGTTTACTACCATTTAATTTATTTTCATGTGCAAGTAAATTTTAATTTATAAACTGAAAACTATTTTTAATTATTTGGTATATAAAAAGAAAAATAAAATAAAAATTAAGTCTCTTTTTTTAGTAATAAATAAAAATAAAAGGTATTATAAGTGTAAAATGTATTAAAAATAATAAAATGATGAAACTAGAATAAAATCACAAGCGATGAGTTTATTGATAATTTATAAATAAGGAATTTTTTCAAAAATTTTACCAAAAGTGCTGGCAGAATATAGTGAAATTTACCAACAAATAAAAATTTCTAAAATTTTTAACAATTAATACAAAAAAAAAACTTTCCCATAATGAAATCAAAATAAAATCACAAGTGGTGATTAATTTATAAAATTTGAAGATAATAAAATTGTCTAAATATGGAATTAAAATAAAATTGTAAGTGACAGTTTTATCGATAATTTTTAATAAGAAATTTTCTACGAAAAAAAATATATTTCCAAAATCATTCGAAATAATTTTGAGAATATTTTTTAATAAAAGATTTTCATCCATTTTTACTTTTAAATATCTTCGAAAGTAAATGAAATTCTTCCAAAAATTAAAAAAAAAAATCAACAATGGGTGATTTTATTAAAATTTGTAGGTGAACAATTTTTCAAAATATTTTTCAAGTGTTGTAAATAATTTAAATTTTTTCAACAAAAAGAATTGTATTTCCTTTGAATAATAAATAAAAATAATAGAAGTTTCAGAAAAATAAATAAAGTAAAAAATGTCAATAATGAAATTAAAATAAAATGATAAGTGATGATTTTATTGGAAATTTCTAGGTGAAGATTTTCAAATTTCATCAAGGGTGTTAGAGAGCTTCGGAATTATTCCAATAGAAATAAATTTATTTTTTTAAACAACATAAAAAGTAATTAATAAATTCTACAAAAAAAAAGTTCTTTTTCAACCATGGAATTAAAAAGAGGTCACAAATGATGAATTTTCAAGTAAATATTTTCTTAAAATTTATTAAAAGTGCTGGAAGAATTTTGGAAATGTTAAAAAAAAAAAATTGTCTTTGGTCATAAACAATTAAGCTAAGCCAAGCAGAGAGTGTCAAATGAATTGGGCTTTTTATGGTTGCCTTGATGGACCAATAAAATATTTAATATCAATGTTTTTGCGATTTATGAATAAAGTATAGGAAACTTAATTTTAATTATTATGATTCAATCTTGATAATCTCAAATATCAAAAGATGAACATGCATGTGGGTCTTCCACTTGTTTGATGATTTACATTAAATTTTTATTTTTAGAATTTAAATAAAATTAATCCATTCAATTTTACTTATTTTCTTTATAGTTATATTTAACAACTTAATTTTTTATTTTCAGACTAAATAAAATTAATCTATTTAATTTTATTTATTTTCTGAATAGTTATGTTTCACAAAAACAACTGCTCGTATCAGTTGCATGATAACATAAATTTGTGACTATTCATGAATTATAAAAAGGTCCTTTTCTATAAATATTTTCTCTATTTTTTTTCGAAGATTTGAAGAGTTTAAAATTTTATTATATACTAAATATATAATTATCTTTAATAAAATGTTATTCATTCTTCAAAGTTAAAATTTCTTTTTTTTTTTCTAATTCACCTAAATCAAAAACTATTACAACCATGATAAAAAAAAAAACTCATATATAAATTAAATTTGAGTATTTTGATCACATAAAATGTTACAAAGGTCTTATTAGTTATTATCCATAAAAAAGGAAAGGGGACAAAGGTATAGAACTAAATTCCCACGTTAATTTCATTGAGCAGGCATCCTATTCCAAAGAAAATTATATTTTTTTTTCCTTTTCATGTAAAGAATCTAACAGCTAATGCAAAGCATTTATAGATGCAAAGATGGAATTGAAAGAAATAGAATTAGATGCTTGAAAAAGAAAAATCCTTCACTGTTTCAAATTAAAAGCAGAAAAAACATCACTTTTGGAGGACAGGCACCAAATAAATCAATGCCAGCTTGTCTTTATGAGCATAAATGGTAAAATATGCTTTCATAATTTACAAAACCATATTTTAAGCATTCAAAAGGATTAAATTATTCAATTCTGACTGTAAATATAAATGAGATAAAAAAATTTTAGGCATATAAGTATAAAAGGTTTTAGAAATAAAATAAAATAATTGTCCAATGTTTTATCGTTTTATTTTAATCAATTAAATCTTTAAATATATATTTTTATCTATTAAATCTTTTTTAGAAAAAAATTGATTAATTGCCAACATGCATTTCCGTCCAATCAAAGACTCGATTGAGAAAAAGTAGATACTTAATAGTTTAATTAGAAGAAAATAAATGTTTAAAGGTTTAATCGAATAAAAATAAATATTCGAAATCTCAATTGATTATAATAAAAAAAGAAGAATTTGAATAATTATTTAATTTTTGTTCAAGTTTTTTAAAATCTTGTGATCTTAAAAATTTGAAATCTTGTGATTGATCTATTATTTAGTTTTTCCTTTTCTTAATTCCTTAATGATTCAATTGAAAAAAAAAAAAAAAGAGTTTAACTTGAAATCTAATTTTCGAAAGTAAAATTTATTTACCAATTTAGGTTTTTTCTTTGAATTATTAATTTATTTATCACTAAGCTAATGATACTTTAACTTAATGGTAAGAAAGTGATTTTAAAATATTGAGATTCCAAGTTTAAAGTGTCCTCTATTAAAGATTTGATACAATTTTATGATGGATTTATCAAGTTATATGAATTAATTTATTAATTTTTATATATAATAAATATTTAAATATAATTGTAATTTATTTTGTATTAGTACTTTCATTAAAAAACATAATTAATTTTTGGTATTCTAATTATTAGATTTTTAAGCTATTTTTATTCTTTTATTAGATATTAATTTAGGGTTGTGATTCACATTTTCAATTACTTATCTTTATATTATGATCAGAGTATATGTGCAAGTAAAGATCAATACATAATCGAAGAAAAATCAATATGAAGTGTGGTCAAATAAGAAAAATTAAGTTTCATGTGAACTTTAAATTTTGAACAATTAAATTTTTTAAAAAATGCTTATATTTTGGTGAGACTTAATTAATCTGAAATTTAAATATTTGAAAATTTTTTCCCTATCATCTAGACAAGACAAAAATCCCAATTTTTTTTTATAATGTAATAAAAAATATCTCAAATTTTGTTGATACTAATTCTCTCTTAAATGATCTTAAAAATAGCACTTATCAACTTGCAATTAGGGATCGAGTTTATATATATATATATATATATATATGTGTGTGTGTGAGAGAGAGAGAGAGAGAGGGATGGAGTTATATTAATAAAGTTTTTACATCATTTTTATAACTTTTTTTTATTATTATTTTTAATAAATTTAAGGAAAGAGATTTTTTTTTTCTCTTTGTCACTTGTCTCTCTCTATCTTTTAGATATATTAAAATTATTGATTAAAAAAATATAACTTTAGTTTTATACTAATAGAACTTGATTCCTCCCATATACATATATATATATAGAAGGAATGATCGATTTATACCGATAAAGTTTTTAATATTTTTATATTTTTTTTATCATTGATTTTAGTAAATGCAAATAATAAGATGCCCTTTTTTTTTTACTTTTTAACTTGATTTTTTCTTTTTTTAGATTTATTGAAATTAATAGTTAAAAAACTCATTAAATTTTTTAGTTTTATACAATATAAATTAATTTTTCTTTATATATATATACACACACGAAAAGATCAAATTAAACAAAAAGTTTTATCCATTTTTATACTTTTTTTAATCATTAATTTTAATAAATCCAAATAATAATGTGAGACAACAAAAAAAATATATTTAATTTCATCTCTTTAATTTATTAAAATTAATTATTAAAAAAACGTATGATAAAAGTTGACTTCTCTCTCTATATAAATTTTGATATATTAGTATTTATAGTTGGCGCCAAAGAGCTTATATAGGAACCAAGTCCAAACAGTGAAAGCAACAGTACTTCAAGTGCCCTTCGGTATATAAACATAGGCAACTGCCTCTCTCACTCACTCACGCACTCTGATTTCTTAACAAGAAAAATGGCTAAGAAGAAGCATATTCTGAAGGAAGAGGAAGAACATGATTCCAACACAAAAGAAGTTTGTCGAGCTGATTTCCCTCCTGACTTTGTCTTTGGTGTTGCTACTGCTTCCTATCAGGTCTTTTTTTATTATTATTCTTGTTGGAATTGCTTTTAACAATAGTAACTGCTGCTGTATCTGTTAATAAGGATCAGACAAAAATTTTCATTTTCAAACTTGTTCTTTTTTTTTCTTTTGATAGATTGAAGGAGGTGTCAAGGAGGGTGGCAGGGGTGCAAGCATATGGGATGTTTTCTCACACACTGAAGGTTTATATGAATATGATAAATAAATAAATAAAATAAGTATCCATAATACATATACTAGCGGAAATTGGCAGCTGCCAACATGTTTTCCTTTTTCTGAAGAATTTATTTATTTATTTTCTCCCTCGAAACCCAAACTGCAAAATATACTTACGCTTGTTGAATTGTCATAATGTGCTATACTCGGTTTTGGTTGTTCATCTTTCTTGTTTTATTAGGAAAAATTATTGATGGAAGCAGTGGTGATGTGGCAGTGGATCATTATCACCGGTACAAGGTTAGTGTATATTATAGGTATTAGATATGATCAACTTGGTTTTTTTTTTTTTTTTCATATTATTTCTCTACCGAGTAGGTAACTCCCCCAAGTTCCATAATTGAAATTTGCGAAGATATATCATGATTAATACGCAGAGACTTTAACCTATGTATGCAAGATGAGACTTTTGAGTTAAAACAGGACAATATCCCATGTTGGTTGTGCAGGTCTCAGCAGATCGCTAAACTTTGGCAGCTTTTGTTGTGACCCTCGAGAGCTTTTAATTTTGGCCGTCGCACACAATAGCATATGCTTGTATATTATGTGTTTTTATTCATCAATTTTTATATATGCTCTCCTAAGAATCCTCTTTTCTCTATCTGTCAATTTTTCTTCTTTTCTGAATCTAAAGTAAACGGTGGCATACAGGAAGATGTCGACCTTATATCTGAGTTGGGGTTCAAAGCTTATAGATTTTCGATATCATGGCCTCGTATTTTCCCAGGTATGTTCATCTTCTCAAGATTTTAATTTTATTTTCGACTTTCATTTTCAGATGTATCATTACCATGCACAATAGAATATAATATAGCATTGAGCATCCATTTGGCTTTTGTTTGTTTTTGGCTTTTCCCCCTATACCTCTGATGAATGTTCTTTTGGGTAATGGAGAGTTGGTTGCCATTCGAAAAGAAATGCTGTACCAGTGCTCTAAGCAGCAATTACTTACAATAGATAACATTGCCAATCTGCTCTGTACTTAGATAGTGAATCGGGTGGTACAAACGTGAGTAAAAATTGTACATATCAAGCAAATGCACAATCTGCTACGATCTGACATACAAAACTAGGAGAGCAACTTAAAAATGGAAAGGTGGGGTGCGGGGATGTCAGTGAGCCTTTGGCTCAATTATGTGCACTGTGAATCTAAGGCATGGGACTTATCAGGCCGCGAGTTCTGACATTTTAATTGATTAAAAAGGTCATATCTCTTTTAAGAACAAAAAATGGTAATATGAGGATTGTTTCTGATACTAGTCCATGACTTCATCAATCATGAGCATTTTCACAAAAAGTTATAGAACAGTAATTTTGAACTACTTATTTGATGACTTTCATTGCTTTATTATCTTATAGTGTTACCCAGCATGGTCATTATAAAGTAGTATTCATATCTTTTGTTGATGCATGCAGATGGTTTGGGAACCCAAGTTAATGAGGAGGGAATTACTTTCTACAACAATTTGATTGATGCCCTTCTTGAAAAGGGTATGATGCTATTTGGGCTTAACTTCCTTATAAATGCCATATCAATATACAACTTGAAGAATATTGCCTTTGCACTTACAGGTGTTGAGCCCTATGCGACTTTGCATCATTGGGATCTTCCATTGCATCTTCATGAGTCAATAGGAGGGTGGTTAAACAAGCAAATTGTGTAAGTTTCACATTACCATTAAATTTTTTGTTCATGAGCCGATGTTCAGTAATGTTTTCTTGCGTAATTACTTGCATATTGTACATGGAAAATTGAAGAGAGATTGTTCTTTCTGGTAGTGAAATGCTTTTTCTACATAAAAATTCTGAATGTATTCCAATATCTACACTTCAACATTAATTTCTTCATGTATTTGGAATGTCTCGTGTATTTGTCACTCATTTCTGCCTCTCATGTCCTGATCTTTCTTTGATGTATACATAGCTTACTGATTCCATCTAAACCTGCTGTTTGTTCTTATTCCTGACGGAACAATTTCGCATCAATGGCTAGGACTTTTGACTGCTGATATACAGTGAAACTTGCATGATAGTGACTGTGATGCAATTGATGAAAACACTTTTTGAGGATATCATATTATCATCAACACTTGTTTGGTTGATACATTAAACAGTTACTGTACATACATACATACATACGAGTAAAAGGTCCTTACATCCAACGTAACCTCTTCTATTTTCTTAGCCCACAAAAAATGATAGCTCCAGTCCTTAAGCAATTTGATGCAAGAAGAAAGCTGTTCCATAAGGCATAGAACAATTTAGAGTTGCTTCATTTTTTTTTTATTCAAACATGATGGTCCATTTAGATATCCCTACTTTACCATTTTGCTTGTTATAAAGCACCCTTAGCAATTGTAAAAGCACTTCATCCTTCTGGTTATTGTTTTATGCTCATCCTATATATGATGAATTTGTTTATTGCTTTGAAATGCATTTGCTTCATGCATGTGCACATTCTAAGCTTATATGTTACAGATGTGTTTTTGGTATGGCTTTAATTTGTTAAAGCAGTGCATCTTATACAACATTTAACTTACCATGAAATCCCTCTTGACTGTATTTAAGGACTGATGGACAATGTTCATCTGGCCAATGTCCAGAGACTACTTTGCTATCTATGCAGATACTTGCTTTGCACATTTTGGCGATAGAGTAAAGACCTGGACTACAATAAATGAGCCACTGCATATTGCTGTGGGAGGGTATGATACTGGAACATCTGCCCCTGGGAGACGTGAAAATTCATCAACAGAAACATATTTGGCTGCACACCATATGATTTTGGCCCATGCTGCAGCTGTTTCCATATACCAAAGTAAGTACAAGGTAAGTTACTTCCTACCACTGAATCTTTTTTGTTCTTCTAATCAATTAGTTATCTGTTTGAACAAGACATTCTACTTTCATGCTCTTTTTAGTTCTTGATTTATCATTTTTTGTTTATCCAATGTAATGGCATATAACAGCAAGAATGACCTCCGTCTGGTGGCTACGATTTGATATTTCAACTTATAAGAGTTGTAAATATAGATGCTGTCTAATTAATTGCATTTATTGGGAAAAAATAGAAAAATATTTGCATTGCTATAAAAATAACCTGCTATTCTTGCTGCTGCTGTTGTTGTACCTATTTTGTAGGATAAGCAAGGGGGACAGGTAGGAATAGTGGTCGATTGCGAATGGGGAGAGGCAAATTCAGATAAATTGGAGGATAAATGTGCTGCAGTAAGGCGGGTTGAATTTCAGCTTGGATGGTAGTTTCCCTCAAACTCAGTCATTGTTATTATTTGTTTTACAAAATTAATTATAAAGTACTATTTTTATGCCTATGCACTCCTACATGCATTCACCTATGTGCACTTACATGATAATGCACAAAATAAAAAGAGCTTGCTGCTCGAGAAAGTCGGATATTTTTCTATTAATATGTATGTATGTATGTATCTTGTATGTATTGACACTTCATATTGACCCATATCAGCTGTTGTTCCAATAAACGTTTATTAACAGGTTCTTGCATCCATTGTATTTTGGAGACTATCCTAAAAGCATGCGTGAGCGACTCGGGGATCAGCTTCCAGAGTTCACAGAGGAAGACAGGGAGTTGCTTGATAGCTCCATGGACTTTGTTGGTTTAAATCAGTATACGTCGAGGTTAGTTTCTCATGCAGCAGATGGTGCTGAAGAAGGTCATTTTGATAAAGCACAACAGATTCAGAAAATTGGTAATGATAAACACCTCAACCGATTTCCAAGAATTTTCAACTGTTTTGTTAGGTTGTTCATATCACTAATGCTCATGCTTATTGACAGTGGAATGGGAAGATGGCGAGATGATTGGTGAAAAGGTATGAATATCAATCTCTGTGTGAAATTTGTCAACGGTTTATGGATCAGGCATTCGAATGCCTTTGCTGGAAATCCAAAAATCTTGTCCGTTGGATATGATGCTTCATTCCAAAAAAGTGGTGCCTTTTCATAAAGAAGTGTTTACATTATCGATTTGGACTTATAAATAATTTTATTACCGTTTATTTAACACAACTTTATATATAATCACTTGAAGAATTAAATCATTCTCTATCATTCTCATTTCTTGTTTTTGATTCAAGTGTGTTAAAAAAAAAAAAAATTTTAAGTGCAATCTTGTTATTCTTTGATTAAGGCATTGTACGTATCATGAGGAAAATATTTTCAAAAGTTTTTTTGCAGGGAAACTATTATCCTTAAATAGCTTTTCAAGTGCCTTTTCTAAAGTTTATTTTTCTTGCAATTTATTTGCTTAAGTCAATATCATATGCAACACTACTATATATAAAATTTGCGGTCATTGAACAGATTTTCTTAATGGCAGGCGGCATCAGACTGGCTCTATATTGTTCCTTGGGGCATGCGGAAGGTTCTTAATTACATAGCCGATACATACAGTTGTCCACCAATATATATTATGGAGAATGGTATGCAATTAAACCTTTTCTACTTTGCATACAAGAATAAATATGTACTTGTCATATTTAGTTTAAAAACTAATGATATTCTCAAAAAAAAAAAAAAAAACCTTCAATGCTTGCTTCAATTTAGGTATGGATGATGAAGAAAACGACAGTGCCGCTCTCCATGAGATGCTTGATGACAAACTGAGGGTTCGGTTTTACAAAGGATACCTTGCTGCTGTTGCTCAAGCAATCAAGTAAGTACTTAAAATATAGAACTTGCATAGATTACCTCATTGTTTCTTCGAGGAGCCAATAAATCGTTGCAGATTTGATAAGATACTTGAGAATTAAGGAAGAAATTCCATGCATTGACTGCAGGGATGGAGTGGATGTGAGGGGATATTTCGCATGGTCATTAATGGACAACTTTGAGTGGTCTCATGGCTACACCAAGCGCTTTGGTTTGGTATATGTTGACTACAAAAATGGCCTCAATCGCCATCCTAAGTCATCTGCATTTTGGTTCAAGCACTTCTTGAAAGGTGCTGACGATGGAAGTAACAAGAACAATGAAGATTGAAGAATGAAGAATGAAGAATGAGCAATTACAATCAGCATTACAACACGTTGTTCATCTCAATGCCCATAATTGAGCAAATGCAAATAAAGACTGTGGACTTTTTTTTTCAGTTAAATCTTAATTTGAATAAATATGGTTGGCGACTATCTGCCATAAACCACCCTTTTGTAATTATTTCAGGTTTTATCAAGTCAAGATGCTTTTATCTCTAATCTATGATCTAATGAATTCAGAAAATGTTAAAATGAATTATTCGAATATCCTTGTTTATTTATTATTTAAATATGTTTGCTTTTATTTCATTATTTTGATTTTTGTAAAGTCCAATGATTGATTGAATTTTTTTTTGGCAAAAAAAAGGCATTTATGCTTTTACAAAATAGTCTAAGGTAGCATTTGATATTTTTTGCAAGATTATCATTGTAAAGTAGTAAATGTACTTTAGTAGAAAACTTGATTCATTTTAAAAGAAAAACAGGGTATAATACCTAAATATTAATAAGTTTTGGTTTGTAAACCTGCATTACTTTTCTCCTTTTTTTTTCCTATTTATTTATTTTCTTTTCTTTTCATTTTCAAACTTTATTTTTTTATGTGAAATACTCATTAATATTTGGTGGCATTTGATTAGGAGGAAAATAAAATTATTAGCCGAAATCTTACTTTTATAATTTGATTTTTTAGTTTAGTTAAGGAAATTTGATGTTTAAGATTTTTTAAGATTTTTAACAGTATCAAAAAAGGAAGGTGATCGCCCTAAATTAGAAACCCTTCTTTTCTTGAGGTTTTATAAGATTTATAACGAAATTTAAAATTTATCCCACTTTTAATTTGTCTTCAATAATAATTTTTTATAATTTATTTTACCTTAAAAATCAACGTAATTACATGATAAATTAATATCCATTTTGATATGCGAATCTACATTCTAAGCCACATAATTGGACTGGCAATGATTATGTATAATTGAATTTTTATAAATTTAAATATTTGTTTTCAATGATAAAGTTTCAAAAAGACAACATTTCATAATTATAAATGTAGTTGATCTTATATTAAATAAAATCAAAATAAATACAATTTTTTCATTTATACAATATTGTTATGTTAGAAACATAGTCATATATTATAATATGTTATAAAAAAAATTAATTATAATAAAAACATTTTTAAAAGAAAATTGTAAATTGTTGAAAAATTTTAATTTTGAGCTTTTTATAATTTCAAAAGTATTATTGTATAAAATAATAGCAAAATAAATTTTATATTTTTAATATCAACAACTTTTCTTAGTTGAAAATGTAGTAATTGATAAAATATAGTAATCAATTACTATGTTTAAAAAGTGATTTAGGGAGAAAGCATGGTTATCAGAATGGGATTGGATCGTCGGTCTAACCAATTAAATCGATAAATCAGTACTGAAATTGATCTAATTCTATAATTAGATCAATTTTGTAAGTAAACCACTTTAAACTGTTATAAACTAGTTGTTTACATAATAAATCAGTAAATCATGCGAGTTTTTTAAATCAAACTGATTCAAGACTAACTAATAAATTTATGTAAAATATGAAAAAAAAAAAAAACCTTTCAAGTATTCAAAATAATCTAATTTAGCCATTATATATTATTATTTGATCTAAATAAACCCCTCAACTCTTATTTTTTACTATCAAAACCCTTGTATCTTTATATTATAATATGCTGATATATTTTGAGACATAAATAATGACATTGCAAAAATATTTATACATGTGTAAAAATAAGCAATTTAAAAAAAGATAATCTAACAAAAAGATTAATTAATTGATTCCATAATTAAAAGTAATTATCAAAACAATAATATATAAAATTAATAAAAATGATTAATAAAAGAAAATGTATATATGCAAAATTAATAAAAAAAAATCTACATTCATATAAAAATATAAAAAATGATTTTAATTTCCTTTTTACTAATTTTCATATAATATAAATATTTCATTTTTATTAATTTTATATATAGATATTATTTTTAATAAATAATATTCATATTTTAATAAATATAAATAATTATTATTTATAATTATTTATTATTATTATTTATTATATTTATTAAAATATAAATATTATATCTAACTATTAATATATAAAATATGATTTTAATAAAAATATTAAGTAATTTCATTTCTAACTAGTAATTAATTGTTCTATGAATTTTATATTTCAAAATTTGTAGTTTATATGACCTTAGAATTTATAATTTTGTGGTTGAATTATTAACTTGAGTTGAAAGTTTAAATTTTTAATTTTTAAAAAATAATAATATATTTTAATATTAAAAAAATTAGAATTTTAAAATTATTTTTAAGTTCATATTTTTATGAAAAGTAGCATGTTTTTGAACAAATTGAATTTCAGATAGCATGTATTTTTCATGTATTTCGAACAAATTTCGAATAATTGATAAATTTGACGTATTTTTATTGCATTTCAAGATTAGTTTGTTTTGAACTTTTGATGAATTTCAGATGCGCATCCATGTTATATGTACAAAATTTCTTTCCGCTCGATAACTATGAAGCCCCAATACAATTTAAAACAACTCAAAATTGGGCTGAAAATAAAACCCAACTCAAAAACAACTCTGCTAATCAATGAGTTTTTTTAATGGGATCAATCGTTGACAGCAAGTAAACTGTTCCGAACCTAAAATAAAAATCTAAGCATATTTTTAAACTGAAGCAGCAGATAATAGCTTTTGGGCTGGTGGAAGCAATGCAACAGCTCCTCGCTGAGAACTCGAGTACTTTCTGTATATAACCTTAAGCCTACTTTCTGCAGCCTTTGAATGGAAACAAGCCAGCAGTTTAGCACAATCCAAGAGCTGTGGTTCAGAGTAACCAGTGTGAAACTTGAGTGTGTCAGTCCAAGTAGGGTTCTTGTCTAGAGTGCAACGAGCAGCATAGACTGCTGAGGCAGCTACCATTGATGGGCAGAACATTATGGTCTCATAATGCATCACTCCCAACTCTGCTAGGAAATATACCATGTTTTCCATCTATATCACAAGCAAAGCAAACATATAGAAAGTAAGCATCTGAAACAAACAAAAAAAAAGTATGTTTTACTTGGAAAGGAAGAAGAATCCTCACCTTCTCATCAGGAACCGATGCCTTGATGAATCGAACTAGGAATACATAGGGTGTGGGCACTGTCAAAGTCCATTCCAACCTTCCCAGTATAGTTTTCTCCATGATAAGTATTTGTTCATGAGTGTAAGCTCTATCTGCAATGCATACTAGATCATTGACCTACATTTTTTTAGTTCATCGTCACAGTTAGCCAAGGCGACACATAAAAGATATGATAAAGAAAATAAAAACTCACACCTCTGGGGGCCAGATTTCTTCATATTTGGTGGCAATAAGCATGGCACTCATGCCCAGCAGTTGTAATTCCCTCCTAGGCACAATTTTCACAGAAAGGAACCGATCAATCAAATTGATGGTGAGATAGAGTGCTTCGGGTGAAAGGTCAAACTTTTGATGGACATCTATCAGCCAATCAATAAGAATTGCCCTCATCTTCTCATTAATATCAGTTTGCAAGTGCATATAGTCATGTGGCCTGCTCTCATTCTGCATTTTCAAACGTTTCATAAAATGTCAGCACTTGAAAGTCATCTTATACAAAATACAAACGGATGAATTTGTTGATATATATTTGTTACCTCAGCTGATTTATAGAACTTGTAGATGTCATCAACATATTCCACCCCAGCCAAGTCGTTATTAGCATCTGCTTTATCAATATCAACAATCTCCTCCTTTGGCTTGTTGGCAATCCCACAGGCCGCCTGCAATAGGATCAAATTTGAAGTTGGAAACATAAGATTAGAAACCGGTAAAGATTACCCCCTCAAGATACAAAAAATCACCTTGCTTCTGGCTGTGAGGACTGAGGAAAGAGTATGTAGTTTCTTGTTTGATGATCCCTCTCCCTCAGTTGCTTTCTTGTTATTGACAGGAACCTTGTCTTTCTTCTCCTTCACCTTCACCGCTTCTTCAGTATCCGGACTAATTTCAATAACTTCCGCCGGTTTGGGCTTAGCAGTTGGTTTATTTTGAACGGGCTTTGGTGCAGCAGCAGCAACAACAGCCCTTTTAGGCACAGCGGCTCCATCAAGAACAGAAGCTTTATCGACATTAACACAAACATTTTTCTGTATTCCAAGGAACAAATTGAAATATTAAGTAAAAAAACTAACTTCTTGCTACAAACTCTTTTACTTTATTATTTCCAGTAAAGAAATGTGAAAAAAAAAAAAAAAAAGGTTTACAATATACCTTGTTGTTCTCAGCGGCTACGTTAGCTTGTGCATTGGCAAGTAATTGTGCGCAGAAAGACCTTGTGAGGGGACGATGAATCTGAGGCTGAGGCTTGCCATCAACCATTCCTCTAACATTCACCAGATTCCCAATATCTCCCAATGCACGGCGGCTCCTCCCATCTCCTACCTCAGTCTTCTTTGTCTGCTTATGAACTGCTGCTCTTGCTCCTCCAACGCCGGCCTCGCCTGCAAAGAAATCATTATTTCTTGAATGATTCAGTCCTGCTAAAACACTGAAGACTGAAGAACGATTGATACAGTTTCAATAGATTCCCCCCAAACAAGTGCAAAACGCTATGACCCTTTAAAATTAAACAAAGAATCGTTTTCTTTTTTTGGCCAATGAAACTTTCAAGATACCCATAAAATCATTTGACAAAAAGGAAACAAGCATATCCTAACAAATATTGAACAAAGAAAAAGAAAATTAATTCGGGATTCCCCCAAACAAAAACTGACTATCGATGAACATGAATATATAATCTTTTAAGAGATTGAAAGAGACTATCGATGAACGATGATAATAATACCTCTGGCTTGTTGAGGTACAATGGGTCTTGAAGCCATTTTTGATTATTTCGAATGGGTTTCTCTGAGTCTCTCTTCTCCTCTGTATATTTTTGAGGTTTTTGGGAATGAGAAAAGAGGGAAGATTTATTTCCTTTCGAAGCTGAGGAGCCAACGGTCATATTTCTCTTTTCAATCTCTCCCGTTGGATCCTTTTAAATCCAACGGTTGACAACACGCTCTGCAAATTAGAGCCGTTAGCCTATCTCTTAAGTGTGTGGCTTCATGTACAGGGAGCTAACAAAAGTTACCGTTTGCGTTTTGACTTTACCTTACATTTAATTATATTATTATTATTATTATTATTATTATTAGTAACAAAATGATCCAATCTTTAATTTTTGTTTATTATAAAATTTATATTTAATTATATTAAAAATAATAAATTTAAATTACCAAAACCATAGTGATTTTAGCATTATGCAAAAAGAAAAAGATGAAATTATAAATTTTTTGAAGTTAAATCAGTCACATGATCAATGTTTAGTACATACATACATATATTAAAACTATGCTTGAACATTAAAACCTTTCAATGATATATATACGAAATTAACTATAAACAATATCTACATAAAATTTCTCAGTAAACAAGTGATGAATGGTAAACAACTTATTATAATTTTTAGATTAAAATAATAAAAAACTCATGAATTTTATCATTTTATTTAAATAAATTCATATATTTTTATTGCACCAAATAAACTCTCTTTATTTTTAATTTGAACCCAAATAAATCCTTAACATTTAGTTTATATCCAAATAAATTTTTAAACTTTATTTTGTGCCTAAATAATACCTAACATAAATATTTTATTTAAAATAAAATTTTATTTAAATATAAATTTAAAAATAAAAATTTATTTGAATATAATAAAAATATAAAATCTTACTAAAATGATGAAACAGTTTATAATTTTTTTAATGTGTCTCTAAATCTTTGATCTAGTTGCTAAAAGCACTTGAAGGGACATCAATGGTTTAGTTTTGAATTAAGCTTTTTCTTTTCTTTTACTTGTACTAAGACTTTACCCTTATGATATAATAAAAAAAAAAAAACTTTTTTAATATTTTAACCAGATTTTAATTAAAATATTCATTTGAACAAAATATCAAAATTTGTGATAGTGATACTCTTTGATATGTAGGCGTGATAGTGATGGGGTTTACTATGAGTTTGAGACATGGTTGTCTTTTTCATAGCAAAATTTATGAAATTTTGTTCAGCTAAACTTGCTTGGGAACATGTTTGCAAGATGCTTTTGTGAAGAAACTTATTAATGCCACTGATGATCCTCGTGGACATACTATTCTTTTTTTCTTTTTTTTTTTAAATCTTGGGCTATGTTATAGGAGTTGTAGATTTTTATTTTCAAATATTAATTGATAAATTTTTATATTATTTTAAATTAAATATTTTTATAGAAAATGCATAATAGAAGGAAGAGTAAAATAAAGTAAGAAAACAAAAAATGGCAAAAGATAGGGTGATAGATCAACTATAGTTTTTTTCTTCTCCAAAATTATTCAAACTCAACTTTTTTTTATATAAAATATTTATATATATATATATATATGTGTGTGTGCACGTGTGTGTGATTATACATGCATGGATACATGCTTTTTATCTCTCATTTTTACATTTAAAGCTTTTTAATTTTTTTATGAAAGCAATATATAATTTTTAAAAAATAAAAATATATAAAATCTTATATATTTGGTATTTTTAAATAAGTTATTCTAAATATTGATTTTAGAAGCATTTATTTGAAAACCAAAGGGAATGACTAGAAAATAAAAAATGAGAGGAATAAAATTAATACAAAAAATTCATATTTCTCACTTTTTTATATAATTTATTATTTCTACTTATTTCTTTATTTTTATTAAGAGCCCAAAATATTTTTACTCAATATAAAAAAATTTAATTCACCAAATATATACTTATTAAATTTTTTAGTGAAATTATTCTAAATTATAATTTTTTATTAAAATTTATTAAAAAAAAGGAAAATATAAGGAAACAAAGATGAGAAAATTAAGAAAAGTAAAAATTATTTTTTTTCTTTGAAATTTTTCAATCTTTTTTTTTTTTTTCCTCTCTATTTTTGTCTAAAAAAAAAAAAACAAATTTTGTCAAAGCCATTGCTGACCAGGGGAGTCAATCCAACCTTGCTCACGGTCAATTCGATGCAAGGATGGGAAGGTACAAATTAACCTTCCTCACCAGTGCTTTTCTCTCTTCTCTCATCCCTAATTACTCCATAGATCAATCCTCCTCCCATTAAATCGCCCGTCAACCTTGCACCTCAAATTTAAACACACAAGTTAATAAAAATAGACAAAATTATACTTAACATTTGGAAATTTCTATTTTAGGACTTAAAAATTATTATAGATAAGAAGAGAGAATAATTTTTTTTTTAATTGTTAATGATCGGGCAGTTGTTGAAACGTGTCTCCTTTTTTTTTTTTTTTTTGGGTAATTTTACAAGGTGACCATAAACTTTTGCAAAGAAATTTCTATCTGCAACCCCTTTTTACTCTCCACAGCCAATTGCTCTTTACAATCAAAACTTAAGCACCGAAGAGAAATTTTTACTCTTCCAAGCCATTACCCCTACCCTTGCATTTCCTTTCCCCTCTAACCTTCAAACCTCAATCTCACATTCGTTTTTATGGATTATTTGTTTCCGTCCTTCACTTTCTCCCAAACCCTTCAATCCTCAATTCAATCAACCCTAAAACTCCAACTTTTGGATGAAATCAACAACTTCAAGTAATCCATTCCAATAAAGAGGTCATTTGATTTTTTTTTTTTTTATTTGATTGAATTAGATTAAAATCTACACATTTTGGGTTTTTTTTTTTTTTTTTTGCATGAATTAGTAACGTGCAAAAATGTGTTTTCGTTAGGTTTCAAAAGAGAACGAAAATTCATATCTATCCTCGTTTAAAATCTTACAATAACTCATTTCGGATATTAAATTCATGGCAACAAATATGCATATCCGTAATCTTTTTCGGTAAGCATTGAATTCATGTTGTTTCTTTATAATTCAATACCTGTATTCATATTTATTTATATATTATTCAGCATCAGTATAAACTATATTCAATATAGGATTAATTTGCATATTGGCTTTGAATTTATTTTGATGGAATGGTTGAGAGACAAATTGTTGACCTTTTGTTCTATCTGACAACAAAATGGCACAAACGAGAGGAGGTGGGGTATGTAGCGGTAGGGCACATAGTGTAGCCGACCCTGGGCCAAGTATAAGTCAATGGTGTCCAACTGAGAGGAAACAACGAGTCGAACAACTTGATGTTGAGCCGATTGTTAATCATCCAGAGGATCATATTCTTTTTGAGAAAGTACTCCAACCCATCAGCATGATGATAGGGTGAAATGATGAGGACAAGCTGTCTGAGCCTCTTCTTGGAAGTCTAACAGATAAGTTTATCTTGAAGAGCTTCATGTCTCATGTTACGTTGAATACATGGAATGGTCAGTTGAATCAACTCAGTCAAGTAATTTGTATAGGCTTTATTCTTGTTAAAGTTTGTGAAGTTAATAACGAGATTCTTTTTGTTCTTGTTATTATTGTTGATATTGTTATAGAAGCCAGCTACATTGAATTTGATTAATTATAGGCCAAATTTACAGTACTAGTGTTTAAATGACTCCCACAAATTTACAAATCTTGCCAACTATACATGGTAAGCTTGCTAACTTATTATCAATCAATATAGATTTAATCCTAAAGTAATGCCATGTACAAGAATCTAAGCAGTGGACCTATCTATAATGAATCAGCCAAATCTCCCTCTAAGATTTTCAAATGATAGGCAATTTTGCCCTTGTGCAGGAATCTGCTACTCAACATGTTAGAGTTGGGATTTGAAACTCCTTTTCAATTTGATCTGATGTCATTATCTTGAACACTCCTATGTCATTAGGAAACACTATCTGTATTGCGTTCATTAATATCAAATCCTTGCTAGTAACAATAACAGTAGATAATATATCAGGAGACATCAAACTTTTTAACATCACATTGCACAACTGTAGTTATCATAGTGCTCTGCCTTCGTGTATATTAATGCAACAAAAAATATCATTTAGTAGATGTCACATTAACAATCTCTAGCAATAGGAGATGATATCTATTAGTTTTATAAGTACAATCCATAATCAGGATACTAGAGAAGGCATTTAACAAATGTATACCAGTATTATGTAATTTATGAAAAACTGGAAATGGGGATGAAAAGAAGGGAGTAGATTGAATAAGATTAATTGAGTAATTTATGAAGAGGGTAATTTTTTTTTTTCATTAAAATACTATTGACTACGGTAAGCAATTTTTGGACTCCATTTAAAAACTGTCTTTTTGCAATTAAATTGCCATCAAATTTTCGGCATTGTTGAGCAAACGAGGCACAAAATCAACCAATCAATTAAAAACAGCAAGCTCGTTACAACTGGTAGTTAGGCAAAACAAAAAACACTGCCTAAACAATGCAACCAAATTAGTGGAACCCAAAACCAAACCCAATTTTCATATTCTTCTCCCTCGTTGCCAAACACACCATACAATATAATTACTCACACTATCAAACCCTGATTATCTCACAGTTGTAAAGACTCTGTCAAGTTAGATTTTTACTTCTACATTTGATCATCTGGTCCTCCAAGCATCACCTGCATTTCATATTTTTCACATTTCAATTATTTTTTTAGAAAAAAACAAAAGTACCCACAAAACGCATTTAAAATTCTTGGTTTTTAAAATTCTTTGGAAAAAGAAACCTTACAAGCTCCATTAGGAACTTACGCTACAGTCAAGAGCATGCTTTCTAGCAACCATAATAGCTGCATTCCTTTCTCTCTCGGATTCAAATGTTAATACATAAGAGAGTCCTTTCCTTGGTTGCCAAAACAACGACTTCGCCGGAGCATTAGCATCACCTCTAACTCCACATAGCTTAATTGGGAAAGCAAAAATGTGAGAATAGCTATCAGTAAAGTACCGAC